TGAGTGGGTCAAGTGAAAAATCTTAAATGTCACTATGATGCTAATTTAAAAACTGTATTTTATGTAAGCTTTACTAAGAAAAATCCTACTAGCTTTCGCCCGAAAAGCCGTTCGCGTAGAATTAAAAAAAATGTATCCTATGTATTCCTCCAGACTATCCTCTACATCTATACAAAAAATTCTTTGAAATCCGATCAGCGGCTTAGGCTACAAACTCCATTTATCCATTCATCTAAACAATTGCATTTATAACATTAGTATGATATGAAAATATGTTGTTACTCTGCGATAACATGGCTTTTTAATGGTGTAAAACATTTTAAAATAGGCCCAGTAGTTTTTGAGTTATCACAATACTTACATATATACAACTCTTTCCTCTTTATAATATTAGTATAGATTGAACAAGTATGACATACCCAAAAGATGTATTTTTCATTTTTAACCTACAAATTGAAAATTGTGATGTTTTATTGTGGCTAAGGTTGGTCCTCGTGTGGTGAAACTGCTGGGCAGCATGATCCTGAGCAAGTCTGCGGCGGAGCGCGAGAACAGCATCCTGGTGATGTGGCACAAGATCATCAACACTCTGCAGGAGTGCGCGCTGCAGCCGCAGCCGTCGCAGGACCATGATTATGAAGGTAAACACAACTCGCGAAGTATTCTTTTTTTTTTTTGGTATTATTATTATTTCCAAATAAAAATCTTCACTTTATTCACAAATCGCGAATAAAAAATAATTTAGATGTAAATTTTTATTTTTGCAAAATTTTCAGATTTGAATGTTGAACATGCACAACTGTTGGTCTACCTTTTCCACTCGTTGACATTGATGCAGAAGAAATCTGTTCTACTTATGACTTCTAATGCCATTATAAAAGTAAGTAAACCCCTATTTAACTAGTTTCATTCAACCTTTGAAAATGTATTGATAATCCATGTGATATTTAAAAAAATATGTGAAAACGGTAAATAATTCAGACGTTTATATCTCGCTCTAGGTTGTAGAGACGTTGGCTATAAGCGACAGGAAGCGCGCGGTCTCGCTGGCGCCGCACCAGCTGATGCTGACCACTCGGCTGATGCTGCTGCTCGAGTACCTCATGAGACATCTGTACGATGCGCCGCAGACTCTGCTGCAACAGGTAATAACTTTGTACCAAATAGATTACGAAATAAATTAAAAAAAATATTTACTTGATGCTATATTTTCCTCTACGACGTGTCTGTTTTGGATATTTATATGTCGGAGTTGGGTCTTTCTCCCGACATCATTGCTACCGAGTCTTGGTT